CAGTTCCTTGTATCCCTCTTTTCTCAGGCATCCTTGTGAAAGCCGAGGGCCCCAGACCCAGGGACCTGGCAGGGCACCGCAGTGCCCGTCAAGGATGCCACCAGCATTCCTCCCTTGAGCGTGGACCCCCCCCTCCCCACCAGGTGCTCAGCTGCCGCCTTCGGCCTCTTGCTCTGGAGCTACCGCAGGCAGACGCACTCGGGTGCGAGTCGAGTCCTTCGCTACTCAGATCGGCCTCGTCTGCCAACCACTAAAAGCGTCTCACTCCCGTGCAACCCCCTGCAGGCTGGAACGGCCGGCCCACTGCTGCAGAGACCAGACGGGTGGAGATGTTAACACAACACCCCTTGTTCCCAGGACAGTTCTTGTCGGTGCCAAGAGAAGAGAAGAACAAAAGTGCAGCGGGGGGGGGGGGGGGGTTGGCACTCTCCCCCCCCCCCCTTGGTTTCTAGGGGGGTTTTTGGCCTTGACACATTGACAAGCCCCACTGGCTTTCTGGACAGAATTTCCCAGAGGCTCCCTGGGACCAAACTCAGGAACCTGGAGTGCCACCCCCTCTCAGCACCAGGAGGAGAGGAAGCAAGTCCTCCTCAGCCTCCCCCCCCCAGGGGTGACAGCAATGGCCCACCCCGCAAACAGCTTCAGACTGGCCAGGCACCACGGCTGGAGCCCTTGCCTAGCCAAGCTCAGGGGGAGAGTCCGGAACCCTCCCGTCCCGCTGCCCAGAGTCTCACACGTGGGGGGGGGGGAATACAGAGGAGACGGATCCAGCCTGAAGGCGGGTGGCTTAACGGAGCCCGAAACGCAAGCAGAGAACGGCCGGTCTGCTCTGTGCAGATTCCCACCGGGGTGGGGGGGGCAGGATCCCTGCTCACACGGCGGAATTGGAAACCGGCTCTGCAGTGCTGTGCATGTAGATTAGCTCCTCACTCACTCACTCACTCGTTCAGGGCACTCTTGCCTGCCAGTCTAGAGACTTCTGCTCCAGGCAACAATTCAGCATCCTAAGGATCAATAGGAACGACACAGCAAGACGGCCACTAAGAAACTAGGCCTGCCCAGGGATCACACCGCCTTGGACACAAGTGCAAAAACAATCCCACCCCCCCCGCCAAGCTGTGGCTGCGTAAAAGGCGGGCAGGCAGGCAGGAGGGGGAAGACAGACGAGGCAGTCGCCGGGGGAAGGATGCGTCTCCAATGAAGCTCAAGAGCCATACGTCTGACTTCTCACATCCGCTCTCTTTAGTAGAATATTTTCCCGTCCTTATGAAACAGCACATCTCGAGACCCAATTTGAAGTTAACCGGCCTCTGCGAGAAGCCACCATAAAACAAACACCCTCTTGAAGAGTGGCCTGAGGAGCCCTCCAGTCCGATCCTGAGCAGGTTCACTCCGAGAGCAACCCTGTCCCAAAGGCCTGGCAAACGCAGGGGAGCCGGTGGCCCTGCATGCCAAGCGGGAAGCCAGCGCCAGTTTCCTGGAGCAGATGGCGATTCTGTGCCCCCGGGCAAGACTTCCGCCATGGGAGATGTGGGGAGGGAAAGGATCCTCTTTGGTGCCGTGGTGCCGGACTCTAATCTGGGAGAATTGGGTTTGATTCTCCACGCCGCCTCCACTCGCAGCTGCTGGATGACCTTGGGCAAGCCGTAGTTCTCTCAGAGCTGTTCTCTCAAGGGCAGTCCTCAGAAGAGCTCTCTCAGCCCCACCGACCTCACGGGGTGTCTGTCTGTTGTGGGGAGGGGGAGGGAAAGGAGTTTGTGAGCCACTCTGAGACTCCGAGTGAAGGGCGGAGGATAAATCCAATCTCTTCTTTGTCTTCGCTGGAGCGGCAAGGGCAGGGGAGCAGGGGCCCTCGGAGAAGAGGAGGGTCGAAAGGGGGGGGGAGAGGGCTGGTGGGGTGGGGGTGGCTTGGCCTGTGCAGCCAGGGGGACGCCTGGGGCCTTATCTGGCCCTGCAGCTGAGCAAACAGTCATTTGTCTTGGCAAATCGCAGGGCGATCACAGGACAGCTGCTGCTGCCCAGCGCTCTCTTCACGCTTCGCCTCCTGGAATTGGCTGCAGGCGCCGGCTGCCTCCACCAGGAACTTGCCTTCTGCTGTCCTGAAAGATGGGCCCAGCCCCTGGCCCGACCCCCCTGGGCCACTGCCCTTCTCTCAAGGGCAGTCCTCGGAAAAAATCTCTCACTCAGCCCCACCCACCTCACAGGGTGTCTGTCTGTCTGTCTTGGGGAGGGAGGCTGCGAGCCGCTCTGAGACTCCCAGTGAAGGGTGGGGTCTGGAAGCCAGCTCTTCTCCTCCTCTGCGTGTCCCCCTGCCTCTCTCCCCCCAAGGGGGATCCACGGTGGCTGGGCATTGTTCTCCTCTCCTCCATATTCTCTGCACAACCACCCTGTGTGGCAGGTTAGGCCGACAGGGTGTGACCGGCCCAGGGTCCCCCGGCCGGCTGCCACGGCAGAGAAGGGATTCGGATCTGGTTCTCCCAGAGACGAGTCCAATGCCCTAGGGGCACTGCACCACACGGAGGGCCTGAGCCCTCCCCCCCCCCCCCCCGCCAGCCGGCCAACAGCAGCGCCTCACCCGGCCCCCCCGGTTGGCCTACCTGGCCGGCCCCTCAGCTCTGGGAGGAGAGAAGCATCCTGCGCCCAGCCAGCGGGCCACAGAGAGGGTCTCTGGGAAGAAGCAGGGCCGGGTGCCGAAGGTGCTCGCAGACGCCGCCCTGCCGCTCTTCTCTCGGCCCAGACGCGGCGAGGAGCAGAGAGGAGCCGGAGGGAGGGGCTCGTGGTCTCGCTCGCTCGGTGGTTTTCCTGTTGCCGACCGACCCCGCGGCCTGGCCGGGCAACTGACAAGCTGGATCCTAATCTGCACCATGTGACCTCCTCACAAAGGACCGTTTCTTCGCGTTGGTGGGAACGAGACACGACTCAAGAGATCCCTGCTGGAGCTTTCCCCTGAGCAGGAGCATCGCAGACGCCTCTGTGCCCTGTGGCCCGCAAGGGGCGGTGGGGGGGGCGGAAGAGCCACTCGGGCCTTGTGACAGCCCTCAAAGACTCAGGGGGCCTCCCCCTCAAAGCGGCGGCGGTGGGGGGGAGGCCGGGGCGGAACTCCTCCTGGCTCTGGGCACTGCCCCCTCCTGGGGAACGGGAAGGCAGGCGGCAAAGCAGACAAGAGCCGGTGCCACCCAGGGGAGCAGGGCCCAGCCCCCGGTGCCTGCAGAGGGACTCCCCGCTCGGGCGGGACAGGGCCACCCTCCTGAGAAATCCGCCCGAGGCCAGGAGCCTTCCGGGGCAGCCCTGGGTAAGGCAGGCGGGCGGCAAGACCCTGCTCTCCTCCTTCCAGGGGCAGCCCCTCACATCCCCAGAGAAAAGGGCCTTTGGTGGTGGTGGGGGGGGGAGACCTCTTGTTGCAGGCAAGGCAGTGCGCCCCCGCCAGCCGGGAAGGAGAGGCCACACTGGGCCCTGCCCAGCCCCCAACGGCTTCAAACCAGTGGCTTCCCTGCCAGCCAAAGTCCCTGGAGGTGCCCCCTGGAGACTGCCCTCCCCCCACCTGGACAGGCAGGAACGCGCCCTGGGAGCGAAGAGCCCCTCCTGCTGCACCAGCAGGCTGGCTGGGCAGCACAAGGCCCCCACGCCCTTTCCTCATAGGAAATTTGCACCACCCTCCTTAATAATCTTGGCTGGCTGATTATGTACTTAAAAAAAAACCCCCCCACCAACCGACGCGGGAGGCTCTCAGCTGCTCGTCATGTGGTGGCTCATGCAGTGTGTGTGTGTGGGGGGGGGCTCTCAAATGTGGTGCTGCCTCTTTGGCGGCGGCTGGCCCCACCCCGCCCTGAGAACAGAGGAGCCCCGCCCAGCCCGCCCCTCACAGCTCTTGATTTCGCCAAGAAGAGCCGACACAGACACCCGCAAGGAGAAACAAGTACCGTTTTTATCATGAACTAATCCCCCCCCCTCCACCCGGAGAAAAGGAAGAGCCGTGCCGGGTCAGAGCAGGGAGGGTCCCTCCAGTCCAGCCTCCTGTCTCCACACGGTGACTGACCCGGTTCCTCTGCATGGCCAACAGGGCAGAGAGGCCGAGGCCTTTCCCCTGAGAAGAGCCGTGCCGGGTCAGAGCAGGGAGGGTCCCTCCAGTCCAGCCTCCTGTCTCCACACGGTGACTGACCCGGTTCCTCTGCATGGCCAACAGGGCAGAGAGGCCGAGGCCTTTCCCCTGAGAAGAGCCGTGCCGGGTCAGAGCAGGGAGGGTCCCTCCAGTCCAGCCTCCTGTCTCCACACGGTGACTGACCCGGTTCCTCTGCATGGCCAACAGGGCAGAGAGGCCGAGGACTTCCCCTGACGTGGCCTCCTGGCCCTGGGCTTCAGAGGCTGACTGCCTCTGAACATGGAGGCTTTCTAACAAAGAAGACAAAACGAGCAGCTAAAGACGAAGGGGACCACCAGACAAACCACCTGGAGGTGAGACGCCCGTCCGAGGTGTGGAAGGAGGGGCCGGGGGGGGGGGGGAGCGGGCCACCCGGGGGCTGTGCCCC